TAACATCTTCTGTTTACAGTATTAAGCTGAGCAGTTTCCCCTCCAAGTATTTGAACTTCATTCATAACTTGCCCATCAATCGTGTTGTTTGTCTCTTCAGAATATGTTGTAACCTCAGAATTATCACCTCAGTGGTTTCTGCCTGTCATGAGCACTTCTTTTGAGTGTCCTACTATTATTGTAACTGTTTCTCTCTTGTTCCCTAGTCTGGTCTCTACACAGCAGTCAGGGGAATTGTGAGATTTCTTTGCCAAGCACTCTATAGTGGCTTTACTTTCACTCAGAATGAGAGCCACAGCCCTTACAATGGTCCACATGGCCCTCCCCCACTTGCTCACCTTCCTGCTCACCTTGGACACATTCCTGTCTTGAGAACTTTGTCCTAACTATATCTCCATTCTGGAGTATTCTAGCAGGTAGTTAAATGACACTTTGCTTTCCTTTTGGGGAGGTCTGTGTATGCTGGGGAGTGAGTTCGGGGGCTTGCTTAGCCACTGAACTACATTCCCAGCCTTTTGCTTTCTTGCCTTGGTAGAAATGTCGCTTTCACAGCTCTTCCCTGACCATTCCACATAAAATAACAAGCCATTCCTCCTCCTTTGGGTTTTCAGATTTTCAGCCCTGACATTCCACTGTAAGTGTCTGTGAGTACTCATTAGAATGGAAGCTCCATGACACACCAGAATGGCACCTGTCCAGGATACTCTGCAAGTGCCGCCTTTGGTCTTTAGCCAGTGAAATTCGTTAGCACAGACTGCAGTCACTCTGTTGATAGTTCTCTTTTTCCTCAGTATTGCACCCTGTCTTGGTCGCAGTGTTTCTGTGCCCAGTAAGCTGTCCTTTTAGTGAAGTCCCATGGTGTACATGCTCCATCCCTAGCGCCCTTCCTGCTGGAGACTTCCTGCCTTCCAGTGTTAGCAGTGGTGCTGCCAAGCCTGCTTTTGTACCTGGAGGCCTTTTCTTTTTAATTATTTCCTTCATCTAAATTCTAGGAAGTAAGTTATTCAGACAAAGGATATCATCAGTTATATGACTCTTGTTGTATGTTGGTCTAATGACCATTAAAAAAAAAAAAAAGCCTAAGTATTCTATGGCTTTGGGCACATTTGTTGATGGGCTCAAAATGACATCAACTCTCTAAGAAGTCAAGCGATAGGCCAGAGTGTAGCTAGATGCCCATAGCTGTGTCCCCCGGCTTCCTGCCGCCTGTCCCTGTCTATCCCAGGACCCTAATCTTCCTAATAATGCTAAGTCTTAGCATCAATGCACCACAGGCTTGAGCCTGAGGCGTGGTCATGGGCACTAAGTTTATGAGGTGCTGCTGGAGGAGTGAAGCTTTCTTCAGCCTTGGCACTAGGACCAGTGCCCTGGAGAGCCTGGCAATTCCTCCCCTGGAGCTGGGCTGGGCTGCCTTGGAATTCACTCCAGGGCCAGCTTAGGAGCTGCTCCAAGCAGCCTGCCTGCACGCTGAGCCTCGCACCTTGTACATGACCAAAGATGGTATCCTTGAACACCATGCCCCACCTGATTGGTCCTCATTGGAGCCAGATGACATTGGGCTCTTTCCAGACGTCAGAGCCTTCTCAGGAGGAGAAAGATCTGCCAGCTCTGAGGGCCTGGGGCCAGTGAGTGAGGGGCTGGCTCCTGCTGTGAAAGACTTCTAAAGACGCTGAACCGGTGTGAGAACTGGCTGTCTTGCTGGCCAAGCACATGACCTTCTGGAGTGACCAGGTTGAAAGGGAAACAAACATTTGTGTTGTGCCCACTCTGTTTAGCTAGTGGGTCGTTTTATAATCCTACAGTTGTTCTTCATGTTGGAAAAATCATTTAGAGTAGAGGAGCAGCAGGGTCAAGATGGAAAAAGGTCATATGGCCGGCCTGTGGTGGCAGGGCTAGCTATAGAACCATAACGTATGTTCAGCTAGTTACATTTAAAGTATAAGAAGCAGGTAAGGCAGGCATAATGGTACAGGCCTGCAATCTCGGCACTCGGGAGTCGGCGGCAACAAGGTCAGGGCTACATGAGAACCTGTGTCAACGAGTAAAATGGAATAAATAAGTAAATAAACAGAAAAAAAGGTGAAATTTTGTGTTGTATTAAAATATAACAAAGTTTACCTTTTTTGAAACAGTCTCCTGTAGCCCAGGTTGACCTGGAACTTGTGACTCTGTTACATCTACCTCTTATGTCCAGGAATTATAGAGGTGCGCCCCTGAATGTAGCTCAAAAGTTACCGTTCTTTTTTTTTTGAGTCCGGGTTTCTCTGTGTAGCCCTGGCTGACCTAGACTAACTTTGGACATCAGGCTGGCCTCAGACTCACAGAGATCCACTGGCCTCTGCCTCCTGAGTGCTAAGATTAAAGGCGTGTGCCACCAGGCCTGGCTAAAATTTAACATTTCTAAGAATAAATTCAGTGTTTTCAGCCATTTTGTATCACTGTGTCTAGAACTTCTTCACCCTCCTGGAGAAAAACTCCGCCTCCTACCTAGACAGGAGTTTCTGCAGCTGCAGTGCCAGTTTCTGATCCTGTGTGCAGTGGTGGCTGCAGGGGAGTGGCCTCCGGAGGCTCATATGTTGAAAGCTTGGTCCGCAGTTGGCCAGCTGTTTGAGAAGGATTTTGAGGTGTGGCCTCCTTGGAGGAGGTGTGGCCCTGTGCGGTGGACTCTGAGGTTTGAGAAGCCCACACGAGGCGCTGTCTGTCTGCCTGCTGCCTATGGAGCAGCGTGTAAAGCTCAGCTACTGCTCCAGTGCCATGTCTGTCTGCTTGCCTCCGTGGTGGTCTTGGGCTGACCTTCTGAAGCTGTAAGCTAGCCCCCTCTTAAGTGCTTTTTTAAATAAGAATTCTTGGTCATGGTGTCTTTTCAGTTACAGAGCAGTGACTAAGATAGTGCACACAGCTTCCAGTTTCTCCACGTTTTCACTGGTGCTTGGTGCCTGCCCACCTGTGCTTTTTTTTTTTTTATACTTTTTTACATTTTTACTTTCCCCACGTGTGTGTCTGTGAGAGAGAGAGAGAGAGAGAGAGAGAGAGAGAGAGAGAGAGAGAGAGAGAAAGCTGGTTCCGGGCTTCTACCATGTCCATGTAAGATCAAACTCAGGCCATCAGGTTTGACGTCAGGTGTCTTTGCCTACTGAGCCATCTCACCAACCCTACCCTCCCAGTTTTGAGACTAAATCTTACTATGCAGCCCACACTGGCTCTGAACTTGCTGTTTTTGTAGCACAGGCTGGTCTTGAACTCATTTTCCAGCTGAGAACTGGGATTGCAGACGTGAACTGACTGGTTCCCCCACCCTCATTTATTTTGTTTTTAATACTTTTAGGGGGTAGAGGCATACTTGCTATAACGTGTATGTGATGATATGTTTTAGGAGTCTGTCCTCCTTCTATCATGTGGTCCCAGGGATCAAATTCAGGTTGTCAGGCTTGGTGGCAAGTGCCTTAGCCAGCTGAGCCCTTACTCTGGCACCTGCTTTGTTGTTTATGTTTTTTGGTTTTGTTTTTTTTTTTTTTTTTTTTTTCGAGACAGGGTGTCTCTGTGCAGCCTTGGCTGTCCTGGAACTCACTCTGTAGACTAGGCTGGGCTCGAACTCACAAAAATCTGCCTGCCTGTGCTTCCTGAGTGCTGGGATCAAAGGTGTACGCCACTACTGCCTGGCTTATGGCTTATATTTTTTTTGTTGCCTTATGGAAGTTCTTTGTCTGTTGGAATGCTAGACCTTTACCGAATGTATGATTCACAAATATCTTCCTCCATTCTTTGGGCTGTCTCTCACTGTCTGAGAACTGTCCTCTGTGGACAAAAGACTTTGGTTCTTATGTGGAATCTAACTGACGTTTTTCTTTTGTTGCTGTGTCTCTGATGTCACATCCAGGAAACACTGCCAAATTCAGAGTCACAGAGACTTCCACCTTAGGCTTCCAACAGTTTTATAGTTTGCTGTCTTAAATTTAGATCTTGGGTCAGTTTCAGTTAATCTTTGTATAGGGTCCAAGGGGGCCGTCCGGCTGTATCTGTTTGTGTGGGACACTGTTTGCTCGCACCACGTGTTTAAAAGCCATCCTCTCCTGTGTGTGCATGTTTATTTGGAGCTCTGGGTCCCGTTGGTCTGTACATCTCTTCTCATCTCTGTCCTGTTTTTCTATGTCCATTTTCATCTCTGTCCCATTGTCTGTACATCTGTTCTCATCTCTGTCCCGTTGGTCTGTATGTCTGTTCTCATCTCTGTCCTGTTGGTCTGTATGTCCATTCTCATCTCTGTCCTGTTGGTCTGTATGTCTGTTCTCATCTCTGTCCCATTGGTCTGTATGCCTGTTCTCATGTCAGTAGATCTGTTTTAATATCATACAATGTTTTCCAACTTTCTTTTTCAAAATAAGTTGAATTAACTTTAGTAATTTAATAGCATGCCATTTCAGCATATAATCAATATAAAACATTATTAATGAGATATTTTACATTCTTTCATAATACACCTTGAAATTAGGTCTGCATTTAACAGTCAATTTTGTTCAGACCAAGTGCATTTTGGGACCACATGTGATTCGTGAGCACCATATTAGTTCGCTAGAAATTGCACAGTGTGGCACAGATCTTTCTCTGAAAACACAGGCACCTGTGGCACCTGATGCCATGGTACATTTGTCTCTTTATTGTCGGGGAAGCCATATAGGTAGGTGCCATGGTAAAGAAGAAGCAAAGGAAGAAGGTAACCCTTGAGCTCAGGCTTGGAGGTAGAATAGGGTTTTGAATAACAGTCATGGGAAGGCTGTTCTGGACAGCCTCGTGTGCTCTTGGAGAACCAAAGGCAGTTCTTCCTGCTTTCCCAGGGAATTAAGAATGGAGTAGGACTGGGCTGGAGAGATGGCTCAGTGGTTAAGAGCACTGGCTGCTCTTCCATCTCACCAGTTTCCAGTTTCCTTCCCAGCCACTCGTTCCTGGCATGTGGGTGCCCAGGGTGGCCTGGGGTCTCCACATTTGCTTTTCTTTCCATCTAGAGTATTCTTCCCTCAAGTGTGAGCTGCTCTACTTCTGTCCAGTTCTTCTCATCTCTATCTACTGAAGACCTGCCATATCCACAGAGGCCTTTGCTCCCACCTCATACAAGATCAAATGGCGCCCTTCCTTAAACGGCTCCCAGTTTCTCTCCCCCTACCGCATGTCTCCATAGCTACTCTGCCTCCATTTGGAGCAGAGCTCTGGGAACAGGCATTTTTCTGTAAGTCTTTGTTATCCCAAAGTGCTATTTCACTAGGTGAATGAATAAAGCAATAAAAATCGGATATATAGTCGGTATCCTCAGTTGATAGAGTGCTTGCTCTGCATTCATGAGGCCCTGGGTTCAAGCCCCAGCTCCATATAAAGTGGACTTAAGGATGCAAGCCTATAATGTAACTCCTGCTCTTAGAAGGCAGAAGCCGGAGAATCGGAAGCTCACACTTTCCTGGATTATTAACAAGCTCTAGGCCAGCCCAGGATGATTGAGATACTATCTTAAAAGCAAGTAAAACAAAACACAGAAATGTGTGGGTCTTTATAAATACAGTGGTTGGAGATTTTTGATTTGCTTATTTTCATTATATTTGGAAAACTTCAAACATTTAAAAGTTGAGGGGATAGTTCACTATGCATATATTCTCTAATTAAATTCAAGAACTGTTTGTGCCTCACTGAAGTTGCTTGTTCTAGTATGTGCATGTAGTTTGTCCATATGCACAAGTGGGACCATTTAAAGATCACATGTAGAAACCTGACATTCATTCTTTTCATTTAGAATTTGGTTCTGGAGAACGCTAACTCTCAAGAGACACTTGGCAGTAGTGACTTGGGCCATGGCCTCCGACCTGGACTTCTCACCTCCTGAGGTGCCTGAGCCCACCTTCTTGGAGAACCTGCTGCGGTATGGGCTCTTCCTGGGAGCCATCTTCCAGCTCATCTGTGTCCTGGCCATTATCGTACCCATTCCCAAGTCCCATGAGGCGGTGAGTCCTTCCCTGGGTCCTCAGCTTTCTGCATGGCAGGCTAGATTCTTGTGCCATAAGACATCACCATAATCAAGATCAGCAGGGACTCTGCTGGCCCTTATCAAGTTAGAATGGTCCCTGGAATCCTACCTGATGGATGGGACCACGTGGCTTTATTTGATCAGGTCTTTTTCATATTGTTTTATTTGAGGCAGAATCTTTTGTTGTTGTTATTGTTGTTTGGTTTGGTTCTTTGAGATAGGGTTTCTCTTTGTAGCCCAGGGTATCCTGGACTCTATTTGTAGACAGGCTGGCCTCAAACTCAAAGAGATCTACCAGCCTCCTTGAGTGCTAGGATCAAAGGTATGAACCACCATGCCCAACTTGAGACAGATTCTTATTGTATGACCTAGGGCTGGCCCCAAACTCAGTATCTCTCTGAGTCCTGAATGCTGCCTTTCTATTAAGTGCTTTATTTTATTTTGTTTTGTTTTGTTTTGTTTTACTTTGAGATAGAGTCTACTGGGTTTAGACTTGAGACAGCCTCTCTGCCGCAGCCTCCTGGGACCAGTGTGAGCCATCACACAGGGCTTCTGTTAAGACTTTCATTAGCTCCTGCTGCCTGCCAGGCTGCTAAGAAATATGGCCTCTGTCTTCAAGGAGCTTCTTGTCTTTGGGAGGGATGCAGATATAAAACAATACTCAGTGATGCATGCCTGTAGTCCCAGCACTTAGGCAAAGGCAGGAAGATCGTGAGTTCAAGGCCAGCCTGGGCTGTATAGTGTGATTCTCTTTCCCAAAATTGGCACCCTGTTTCCATGAGAAATACAAGGTATACTCTGAGTGACTAACTAGGTAGAGGGACCCTCTCACCCTGGGCTATCCCTGCTGCTGAGCCAGAGAATGAGCAGCCTTCTACCATGTGAATGGGGAAGGTGGGAGGATGGCATTCCAAGGAAGAGAAGGAGTCCTGCCAGGAGCCTGAGCCCTGAAGGACCAGGCTGGTTCAGGGAACCTAGGAGATGACTGTGGCTGGAGCACAGAGGGCACTGGGTGAGAGCTGCAGCCCAGGGTGTGGGCAGGGCCCAGAGAGTTTGAAGACAGTGACACGATCATGTTTGCTTTGGGTGTGACACTTACTCTGTGAGTGTCTTTATTCTGTACCACCCTGCTTTCAACCATTCTTGTACACTGCCCCCATTTTCTTCTGACATTGACTTGTTGGAGGAAGCAAGTCTTTATCATCCGTGATCTGCGCATTCCACGATTTACCTGGTTGCCTCTCTACATGGCCACTGTTCCCACAGGAAGTTCCACACAGGCACCCAAGGCCATTCAGTTATTTGTTCCCACCACTTGGTGCTGTGGACTTTCCAGTTGTGACAGTTGTAGTTGGTGTCAGAAGGATCATGATGTCTGGCTCTTGTACACTGAGAGATCATCGTAAGGTCGATCTTACCTGACCCTGAAGTCTTTGTCCTAAATGGCTGCAGCATCACTGCTGAGATCCATTATTCCCCCATGCCTTGCCAGTCATTCAGTGAGGACCTTTGACTTGCTAGCTGACATTCGGTGAGCTGCCTGATGTTGGTGCTGGGAACTGAGCTTGGGCCCCCTGGGAAGAGCGCTGAGCACTCTTAACGACTGGGCCCTCTACTTGATAGACATCAGATTTCTAAAATTTGATTAAAAATTAAAAATTGTTGTAATTTTTTTGGTTTTACTTTGCGTGTATGAATATTTTGCCTGCGTGTGTATGTGAACGTGTGCGTGCCTGTTGGATCCCCCAGATGGCTCACAACCATCTGTGATTGTGGTGAGCCACCGTGTGGGCCCTGGGGTTCAAACCCAGGCCTCAGCAACAGCAACAAGTACTCTGAATGCTGAGCCATCTCTCCAGCCAGCTGTTTCAATTTCTAAAGTGCATTTAGAAATTCAATGGGAGTGTGTGTGAGTGTGAGCTTGTGTGGACGTCAACGGACAACTTTTGGGAGTTGGTTCTCTCCTCCACCATGTGGGTTCCAGGACTAGAACTCAGAAGCAGATGCCTTTCCCCTGGAGCCATCCCAGTCACCTGGGTTTTGTTAACTACTTGAGGCAGGGTCTTCCTTTGAAGCCCAAACTGTCCTTGAACCTACTCTTCTCCCAGCTGAGCCCGCCAAGTGCTGGGATAACAAGTGTGTGCCCACACCTCCGGCCACAGCAAGTTTTTTCTTAAAGAAGTTGCATCAGGTGTAATGGCGCACACTGTAATTACAGCGTGCAGGAAGCGAAAGCAGGAGGATTGCCGTAAGGTTGAGGGCAGTCTAGACTGGTAAATTGTAGGCCAGTTTGAGCTACATTCTGAGATCCTAGCTCAGTTGAAAGAATTGGAATTCATACTGATATTTAGAATTTAAACTGAAGACTCCGGTGTTTTTGAGTTTACAATTGTATCATAAAACTTTTTTTTTTTTTTTTACATTTATTTGTTTTGTGTGTGCATATGTGTGAGTATGTGCATGCGTACATACTCACGTGTGTACATGTGTGTACAGAGGTCAGAGGACAACCTTCAGGAGTTGGGTTTTTCCTTCTATCTTGAGGGTCCGTGGAATTGAACTCAGGTTGTCAAGCTTGGTTGCACGTGCCCTTACCCACTGAATCACCTTGCCACTGCTAAACTTATCTTCGGTTTATAAAGGCAGTCTGATTTCCTAGAAGATTAACAAAATGACTAATTTTGTTCTGTCCTGCTATGTTGGAGGTCACCAAGGTCAACTTAGGTTAAGTAATGAATTAGGAGGCCTCACAGCTGTGGCTACCACAGTGAAAGGATATAGAAGGGGCCTGGGATAAAGCTGGAGACCAACTGACCCCAGTCCCAAAGTACCCAGACCAGAACCACACAGATGTGTCCAACTCCAGCAGCAAGAAGCCAATAGATCAAGAAGCTTTGTCAACAAGTCATTCCTCAGAGACAGTGTGTTTGTTTGAAGACAGTCTCACGTAGCAGAGGTTATCCTTACATTCCTGCTCTTCCTGCCTCTGCATCCCTAATGATGGGATTTCACCACCACACCTGGTTCATGAGGCATTTGGGACTAAACCCAGGGCCTCTTGCATGGAAGGCAAGCACTCTGCCAAGTGAGCTCCAAGCAGGCGTCCTACCCTTGAGCTGTAGCCCCACCCACAAGGCTTTTTATTGGGGCTGGTCACATGAATACTGTCTGCCTACTGCATGTCCAGATTTCAGACTCCAGAGATGCAGGTGTCAACGGAAGGCACAGTGCTTGATGGGCTAGGCACGGCACAGCGCGCTCTCACAACAGTGGGAGTGAGGGGAGCTGTTAAGAGATCCCAGCGTCCAGTGCTGGCAAGGAGCAGCCGTGCCAGCAGGGACCAGGCGTGCCAGCAGCTTCTGGAAAGATGTGACTGTGTTTTACCTGACTTTACTCTAACACCTACCGTGTCTGACATGCACCGCTAAGCTGGGAGCCAGGCGGACGTGTGAAGGTTTGTTTTGGCCTCAGGTTGTGTTCCTGCAGGGGGACTGCAGCCCAGCACGGCGCTCTCAGCCTGCTCTCTCTGTGGACTCCATTCTGGAAGACATTAGGCACATTTGCTACAACTTGTTTTTAAGTTTTAGGAATTTTTTCTTTTTAATTTAATTTGTTTTTGAAATCTTATAAAATGTTTATATATAACATTTTCAACCTGTAGAATAAGGTATGTTCATAGAAGTTTCCTTTAATCTCATTATGCCCCCACTACTTTCTTCTTCCTCCCATAGGAAGCCATTTTTATTACTGATTCATCTTTATCATTTTGATTCATTGTTGTTTTTTTAAACCAATAAATGCTGGTATGTTGTCTGTATATGAATATCCATGCATTTGTCGTCCTTCCTCTGAGGTACTGAGCTGGCATAGTCATAAACATACCTTTTCTTTTTCCCCTAATATCTCACCATGCAGCCCTGGCTGCCTGCAACTCTCTATGCATGTAGACCAGGCTGGCCTCACACTCAGTGACCCTCCTGTCTCTGTCTCCTGAGCGCTGGGGTTAAAGGGGATCACCACAGCTGGCTGTTGCCTAACAAGCATGCTGCATTTTGGAGACTGTACGTGTTGGGGCTTGTAGTGTTCTGAAGCTCCTGCTTATGTGGTGCAGGGTGATGGGTGCTGTGCAGTGGGGAACCAAGTCAGAGGAGCAAGTGTAGCATGGGGCCAGCGGAAGGAGCATGCCAGACTTCAAGTTTTAAAAGGGTCCCTTTAAGGGGCTGGAGAAATGGCTCAGTGGTTAAAAGCTCTGGCTGCTCTTCCAGAGGACCTGGGTTCAATTCCTACCATGTCAGCTCACACCTGTCTGTACTCTAGCTCCAAGGCTTCTGCTGTCCTCGCAGAGGCACATGCAGGCATGTAGTGTATGGGTGCATGAACTGCATAAGCATGTGCACACACTCATGCATAACTACACCAGACAAAGGCCAGAGCTTTGAGGGATTCTAGCATGGGCAGGCGTGTGGCCCCTGGTGGTTTTGTCCATTGTGTATTCTGGTATTTTATGGATGTCAGCACTGGACTTTTCCACCCATAGTCACATCCCACAATTAAGAACACAATTCCGGGGCTAAGAGTACTGACTGTTCTTTCAGAGGACCCGGGTTCAATTCCAGCACCCATTGGCAGTTCACAGCTCCTGTTCCAGGGGACCTGACACTCTCACACAGACACACATGTAGTCAAACACCAACGTACATAAAATAAACAAACAAATAAGTTATAAAAGAAAAAAACAAAACAACGCAATCCCGAGGCCCAGTCCTCTGCCAGGGCATGCTGTTGAGTATTATGTGACAAACTTTTATTGTCATCAGCTGCTGCTGAAGCTGTTCTTGGTCCCCAGGGACAGTGGGATGGGGGAGTGAGGGGCAGGGTAACTGCTGTTTTATTTGGAGAGTAGGAAGGGAAGCCATGTTCCGCCCATTGTTCTTAACCCTTTGAAGAGAGCAGAGGCCTGGGTCTGTGCCACAGGCT